CATGCCTGATTTTCTCTCTGACATAGTTTTAGTTCCTAGGCATTTGTTATTTATTTTCCTCATAGACAGCTCTAATAGTCACGAAAAAATGCAGGAAAAAAATTACAAATGTGTCTGGTTTGGGAATTACTGATCTTTTTTTTTTTTTTTTCCCCACCTCCAGCTGTAAGGACACCCTTCAGAACAACTCTTGGTCAACACCAGAGGGGTCATTCATCACTGTGTTCATCATCTTCTCAGGCTTTCCCTGCTGGTGCTGCTCAGTCATCAACTTTGCAGAACTCTTTGAGGAGAAGGACCGACACGGCTCAGGCTGTCCTGCCCTGCCCCTAAATCCTCTGAAAGCCCAAAGCATCCATTCTTGGGGCAGCACATGCACCCACTCCCCTCTTCGAGTGCCCAGGCATTAACCTAAGGGGAAATGCAGGTAGGGGAAGGAGGAGAGGAAGCAGCTCGTGCTTAGGGGGTTTTGCACTCCACAAAGATGACTTTAACTCTTCATCACCTGCAGCAATCACAGCCATCTAAAAAAAAGATTCTTGGCTATTCTTAGTCCTTTCAGACTTAAATTTTCCATGGACAAACTGCCAACCCCTTTCAGCAGTGGTTCAGCCACACACGTTGTGGACTGCAACGGGCAGTTATTCTGTTCAGTCGTGATGTCCGCTTTCAACTCACGCTGTCAGAAGTCAATACAAACCCTAATCTGCCTCAATTACCCCTTCCGTCCTTTCTTGCCCCAGAAATACAAAAAGAGAAAGGTCTGAGTGCATCAGGCAGGGTTGCAGTGCAAAGCCAAGGGATTTGTGCAGTGCCAAGGAGCGCATGGGATGCAGTCCAAGAGGTTTTGTCCATGAAAACGTGGCAACCAGCCTCTGGATCGGGTGTCTCCAAGAATGGGACAGGAGCAAGGTTTGCCAGTGTGCTCACTGGAGGCTAAAATGTTGTTTAAAACTTGCAGAGTCTTGCATGGCTGAGGTACAGAGCTGGAACAGTACTGAGCAGGGATTACTCATATGCAAGTGATGAGGCAGATATATATAATAATGACCTTAAGTGACATTAATCTAGATTGTATCCAGAACCCAGACAAAAATATTCCCATTTGTAACTCTGTCAGAGAAAAAATTCACAAGACAACAGACCCTTCTGCCACCTTGTCTTGCTTTTTACAGGAATACAGTAACCTAGTCCTCTGCATTTTTACATTGGGAAGGTTGTCTTTTTTACGTATTCTATGAAATAATCACAGTTACTGTGCCATCCAAACTACTAATTTTGTTGTTCTTATCATAGCTACAAAACTGAGATTGAGGCATTTAATTCATGATTTAAGGCAAGTGCAAAAGAACTGAATTAGTCTAGTGGTTTTAAATATATATAACATCAGTTTTTAAGACTTTATTTCAAAAAAAATCCCACAGTATTTTATTTGGTTGTCTTGTTTGCTAAAAAGTATGTGACAACACTAAGTTGTGCCATTTTTGGACACTAGAGCAATATGAAAAGAACAAAAAGCCAACTTGCTATTAATTGGAAATAACACATTTAACTTTTAGAAGGAAGGACTAATAGAAAACATACGTGGCTCTTCATCTCTGGTTGTCTGATCTTTCTCAGTTTTTAAATAAATCAAACCCTCTTGTGATTTCCACTTGTAATATTAGATCTTTAAATGTCTGGCTTACACTCTAGCATGAGCTCTGATGGCTGCCAACTTGGAGACAAACTACTTTATACCAGACCTCCATAAGTTGCTAGAAAAATCAGTTATGTCTCACTTTTAACAGTCCTGTTTTTTAATGTGTTTTTTACTTAATTGCTGTTACTTTTGCTGGTTACATGACATTTAGTGAAAGGGAAAAATAAAATCATATTTTAAAGTTCAGAGGTTAGAACTTCTAGATCCTATTTTCATGTTTAAAAGGATGAGATGGTCAAAAATACCCTTTGTTTTGTTTACACCAAGGGTAATGAATTGCAAGGAATTCTAAATGAGACATGACCACTTCTTACTAGACTTCCAAGATTCAGCTTCTGCTGAAAACACAGAAATAAATCACTTCAGATTTTGTTAGCATTGTTCTGACATTATGGAGATTAGATTATGGCCTTTGAGCCATTAGCAATGAATGACTTGATTTAAAAAAAAAAAAAAAAAAAAAAAAGGGTGGGGGTGGGGAAAATTTAGACCTAATCATTTTGTAAACAGACCAAAAATTCCCCATCTAAGATGCACGCTGGCACTAATTCTGCAGTTCTTCCCAACCAAGATGTCCCCTCAGGACTCAGCAACTTCAGAACAAAAAAACCAACAAGAACATCTGATTAGATAAAATTGACATACATTAAGCATTTACATGATACCCAACACACATTACCCTACAGCAAAATATTTTTTTCAACCAATAGTTAAAAATCACTGTCAAGTCTGCCTTCATATTTTTGTGCATTTTGTCTTGCTCTGAATTCCATGTAGAGGCTAGGCTCCCTAACTGGAAGAAAGGAGGTAGCCAGCACATGTACACATGGAGGAAATACACAGCATAACTTACACCATCCAATTTCAGTAACAAGTCATCACTATTTATGACTTTTTAATTTTATAACCATTTTTTCTCAACTTAGTCTTCCAGTTACTGTAAAGGACAGATGCCCTGCAGAAGTACAGAAGTTCTGTTTGAGAGCTTTGTACCAGTGAGTCACTCAGCATAACTGGGTACTCCGGAGGAGCAGAGATTCACCCATAGCACGAGTTGTTTTCCAGTAAAGTTAGAAAAGCCCTGATCATTTAAGTGACTCTACTCAAGTGCTGCCAGGAAGTCAAACACAGCAGGCCGCGCGCAAACAAGAAACACTCCTTTGTAAGAGCACGCACGTCAAATGCATCAAAACACAAGTATTTGGTAGAACTCGGCAGGGTTAGAGGATTCAAGAGACAGTGCAGTTTGTTGCCTTTCATCCCCCACTAAATTTGCTTTTTGAATCATTAAACAAAGTTATGGGAGTCTGTGGACCTGGTATTAAAACACCATTTGTAAGCACACCAATGCAGAATGTTGTTCCTACATCTATAAAAAGGTGCTTTTACAAAGTAAGTACCTACAATTAGTCGTACCTAAGCTGAGAGAAATGGTTAAAACAATTATGAACTTACCCATTTCCCCACTGACAAGGTGTAATATTCCAAGTGCACCATTATTATCTCCAGATACTAGCCACTGTCAGAACCCAGATGCTGGGCTCAGTGGATCCTTCACTTGACTTATGTTTCCGTTCAGACCTTTTTGTTCTCAGCTGTCCAACTTTCCACACACTTTATACATAAGCATTTGCCCTTCTATCACCACTAACGTTAAGAAATCTAATCTCTAAATCTCATGCAATTCAAGCTACTGCCCCTAGGCATTTCATATGCCTACAATATATAAGCCACGCAATGAATCAAACTTAGAAAAAATACATACAAATACATGGTACGTCTAAATTTTATTCTTTCAGCTTGGTGTCACTACATGGTGCCTGGAAATCATATCATATGTGCCTGCCTTAAGAAACTGCATTGAAGACAACTACTTAGTTTTCCATGCTGCAACTCTTATTATAAGAATAATGTGACCTCTCCTTAGGGGAGAAGCTCGTCTCCTTATCCACCATCTGGATCAGATACATATGAGTATGCTTTTATCACTTTTGTACAACACTTAATATTTTCTTAAGTAGGAATAATTGGCTCTCCTGTTTGATGCAGGGACACTTCCCTTGGTGGAAAAATCTTCCCAAAGCATTCTTTCCTTTCTTTCTTTATAAATTCCTGTCCTGCTGAACACCATTATGCTGTTCTCCCCCCATGTTCAGAAGCTTCCTGTCACTTCCAGTGGGACAGATCTTCCTTGTTCTCCATCACAACTGCTCAGTTCAAACTACAAAACATGGGTTTGTTGGGTCCCGCCACATTGCTTGAAAGGCAAAGAAGCCACAGAAGCTGGCTCAAAGTAACATACAAAAGACTGTAGTAGCTCCTCAACTTTTTCTGTCAGCTACTTGAAAATGAATCTGAAGATGTTCAAATGTTTATGAAGAGCAATTACATGTAAAATGTTCAAGGTCTGCAAGTACTCCTCAGGCACATAATTGCAAAGCACTCTTACAAAAACCATCTCCACCTGTACTTCTATACTTAATCTCTTAACTACTCTGTCCATTTTGGCCATTAGGTAGGTATACAGCATCTCCTGTGCTAAATCTGACTCTGTGACCTCCTTTACATATTCAGATATATTTACTTCATATAAACACTAGTTTTTATTATCTGTATTTTTTAGCCTGTTTTAATAGAATTCTTTATTTAAATTAGTAGAATGTCTTAGAAATTAACAATACTTCTTTAAAATTACAAATTACCTTTCATCTACTGTTTCTAAAATTTTCATTCTTTTTTGATACAGAGTTGTATTTCCAATAGAACTGATAGAGCAAACACTTAAAAAAAAAAAACAAAACAAACCAAAATTAACCAAACCTCAAGAGGAATCAATCCCCACACTCTGGAAATAAAGATCATTTTCTACTACTGTGTTTTCCCTGCACCATTGATACCTTCACCACCAACACTAATACTAACATGGTCAAACAACAGGGATTCTAAAATTGTTTCATCTATATCTCCTTTGACTTTTTTTTCTTTCTTTTTTTAACGCACTGTTGAAAGACTTTGTATAAGCGTATCTATATTAATGGGAATGCAATACTAATAGCAAAAAGTTCAATACTGACATGATTTCATTTAGGCGCAGGAGAAGAAAAAACAGCTACATACCCAAAATTCCTTGAGGCCAATTTAAAACATTTATTTCCAATATATATTAATGAAACACTTTTAAATGGCTGTATTTCTGTTAATCAGTTCTGTTATCCAGGAAGTCCTCAAGTATTTCAAGGAGAAACTAATGAAACATATATGTAATCTTTTAAAAATATACAAAAAAAATCTGTATACAAAATTTCTTCCATTTTTAGTTATATTACTACCTTCCTTATCCAGAGATAAATTTTACAGACTTCTGTGGAATTAAAAACATTAAGAACAGTCTCAGCAATAAACCTCTGCAGAAGTGTCTTTTTTATTCATAAATATAACCATAATTATGACTATTTTTTTGTAGCCATCTTCAGCACTTCTATTGTCTTTAAAAGATGGCATGATACAAAAACCACCCCAAAACCATCGATTCCTTACTTACATGTTTTTCAAGGTGTAATTTTTCAATAATAGTACAAAACAGTTATTTGTTGTGGCAGAAAAATATTAGTCTTAGTTACTTCAAAACTCACCACCATAATTAAGTGACTTTTCAGAGAATTTTAGGTGGATACGAATCAGAGCAGACTGTAGTAACTTCAACAGATGTTGCCCGTTAGAAGAGCTGAGACTAAAGTAAAGTCTGAATAAAACCAAAGTTCAATTATTTGATTTTCTGCTTTTTCCTTGCCTGAAACTCTTCGGTTTTATTTTTGACAGATTTTATTAGCATTGATAAGGCAGGATCTATGGCTTTTTTAGCAACCTCTCCTTTCTTTGCCATCTTCTTCTCTTGCCCCTTGCTTGCCTCCTTAAGATCTTGCTCCTTTTCTTCCCTTCGGCGAGCTTTCTCTTCCAAGATCTTTTCTACTGCTTTTGTCTTCTTGAAATTTGGATCTGAAGGATCCAAATTAAACAGGGGAGAAGTAAACATGGCTTGGAATCTTGTATCAGCAACATTTACCTGAAGGCAGAAAGGGAGTATTTCTTTTAGATAACTTTTACCCACAATAGCAAAGTTTTTACACACAATAAAATATGAGGTGCTTAAGGAGTCATAGCTCATGAGATTGTTCCCCATTCCTGGAACTGCTCCAGTCAAAAAATCCCAGTGAGTGGGAAGTAGAGAGCCAGAAGATACTACTGGTAAAACAGACAAGTGAATGCCTGTACAAATCCTGTGCATGCTGCTATCGGCAGACCAAGGAAAGGTTTTGTTGTTTAGAACTGACCAGAAATAAAGCAGCATGGATAACAATCAGAACAAACATACTGATGGGTATTTCGGGCAATGAGCTGTACAAAGCCTTGCATAAATAGTGTCTTGTTAGCTCACACAGAGTTTGAGTCTGCTCCCTTCAACACTGTATCAGAATATTTCTTGCTTTTTGAGAACAGACTATTAACTCCCTAAAAAGGTAGAACTAGTTCTCCTTCAGAAAGAGTAAGGGAGCAGAAGGATATGAAACCACCAAATTTGTCCTGAAAATAATTGATATTAACAAAGGTTCGAGCTGAGCCTCAAAATCAAGAGTACACCATTACCTGGAAGTCATCTTCTAGTAATTCCTTCTTCTTCATTAAAAGTTTCTTCTTCTTCTTGCTCAAATTCTGCTGTTCTACAATCTTTTTGTAATTAAAATGTTTTCTGGTGTCATCCTCATCATCCATCATAAGTAGGGCCATTTCAGCCTGTTAGAAAATAAGAAGGTCCATGAACACAATGAAATCAAGTTTTGTATGAAAAATGTAGCATCTCATGAACAAAGTATGTATGAGTCTACACATACATAAAGGAGTTGAAATAGGATTGTCAGGGCAGTGTTATTTCATCCATAACAACATTCTTCTAATGCTTTGAGGTGTTATTAAATGCAATAGTTTACTTCCTTTTTATTAGATGTAAAATAAATGCAAAAATGCAAATACCCACATTTAACTTCCAAATGTACTCATAATCTGATCTGAAAATTGTACATCATAACGTAGAAATCACCAACGGCTACAATTTTATCTTCATATTTATATAGCAAAATAAAAAAATAACATATATGAATTAAATTCATTTAACTTATTCTGAGAAAGAATGAAAAGCAAACATGCAATAGCAAACAATTCGATCTTCAAGGTTAAAAGTCTACAGGACAAGGTTTGAACACGCAAATATTTCATACAATGCTAATGTGAAAAGCAAACGTTCAGCACCGCCCAACACACAAACATACTGGGAGAGCTCTAAAGCTAGAGGGACTATCAACCAGTATGGCTTCTGTGCCCTCACCTTCCAGTGTTCCCTAACTGTTAAGCTGTGTTCAACTACCATCTTCCACAAAGATATCCTGGCATAATCTGAAAACTTCAAGGCACGGATCAATCTCCCATTCTTCCTGGGTAGTTTCTGTTCCCAAAGCTCTCACTATTGAAATTATACAGTTTTATTCTGTTGCTGTCCTATCGAATTCAGTGATTTCACCCACAAACACGTAACAGGAATATTTGCAGAATTCAGACAATGCAACATCTGCAATTTTTAACATGTTAAACCACTTTACCTTCTGTTTTTCTACTTCATCTTCATCTTCGGAGGTATTTTCAATCGATTCTGGTTTATTCTTTAAGCCTAAATGCAAATATAGGACACGAACACATTTATTCAGGCTTATGCATCATTTACCTATGAATAGAAGCTCTAAGTGCATCTCATTTTCTTGTAAAAAATACTGAAATCGCAGATGTGGAAAAAGGCTGAAAAGTTAAGAAAAAACAGCTAGACTTAAAGTAACAAAAATCCACTGAATATTTGTTCAATTTAAGAAGGCAGCAATATTCAAATGGCATAAACATGTCAACAAAAAAGAAAAAAATTTTCACAGAGTAGTAGAAGGAAGTATCATAACAGTGCAGGCAAACGTATATTACTCCACTCCCAGGGCATTTTAAGAGAAATCAGCTTGTGTACTCGTAAATGTAACTGAAGTGTCCTGCAGTTCTCAAATTGTTCATTCACTCGACTGATGTAGACAATGTAGTAAAAACTTCATAACATATAGTAAATGTGCATCTCTGCACCCAGAATACAAGTCTCCCAGCTGAATTTTCAGCCGTAAAAAACTCCCCACAAAACAAAACCCAATTTTTAAAATTTCATGTCACATTAGTCATGCTAGCACAAAAAACCCTTGCAAAAAAGTCCTGAACAGAATCACAGGAATGAAAACATGACTGACTGTTCAGACTGAATATTCTTCTGATGAAGCTCTCTTACTCTCTTAGAATTTACTTTAGATACGCAGTGCTGATTAAAGAGACATAATGAATAGTAACAGCATAAATCATCAGTCAAACATAACTTTTAATGAAAATAGACCTGTGTATACATCCTACAAAATCAAATTATTCTCTTTGGAATGTGTAGACCTTGATCAAGAAGAAACAGGAAAAGCAGAAGGTTTCCTGACCTGAACCACATACTCTGACCTTTGAGCTTGGAATTACATTCCCAGGCAATTTATTACAGTCCACTGGGGGTGCTCTTAAGGAAGATATTTGGCTCCATTTTGTTGAGCCATACTTGTAGTCAGACTAGAAATACAAACATGCCAGAAAAATGTCAAGTTATATCACAAAGTATACTCTGGAACAGAACACATTTCTTGAAGAACATTTTTTTCTCCCTTGACTATTCTCTTGATTATTTCTAAATGTATTCCAAGCTGGAAACGGAGTTCTAGAAGAAACAAACCACCACCATCAAAACCTAAACTATCCAGATGCTCAAAGTCATTGGCTCAAGAACTAAACTGTTGATTTAGTAGTTCCAGAAAACGTGCAGAAAAATCAGATTCAGATATAACATTGTTATCTAAACTATATAATTTATGTTAATGTGTAGAAGGGAGAAATAAATGTCTTCTGTAAGACTTCAACAACTACAAAATCTTTTGTATTTTCCCAGAACTGGCTAAACTACAGAAAAGGAAACAGAGACATGACAAATTGGAGACAATTATTCTAGAAGTTAAATCAGTGAATCTCCTAGTCTTTCCGCACATTCCCCAAGGAAAGGCCCCTCAAGTCATCTTCCCTTACCTTTCACTATATGTAGAATCACTGAAGTGAAGACAGCTTATCTTTAGGCCTTCCAAGATTTCTGTTGCTGAAGATGGGGGCGAATCAACAGCTAGTATCAAACTGAGCTCTTTTCCATGAAAATAAATAAATAAAAACGTACCCCAAACTTACTTTCTTACTATGCTGCTAATAAAACCAGCTTGGGACCTAAAATCACTCTTAGCACTAAAAATTTTGTATCATCCTGAAAACAGTTTGGTTTCAGAATTCACAAATGCACCATTTTCTGTCTTTTTAACATACTCCTGACACAGTCCCTCTTCCCATATATGTTCTGGAAGTCTCCTGCCCCCCATTTTGCACACTTACGAATGTAAAACCTATAGTAAGAGTCTTTCCCACACCGCTTGCAAAATCTCAGATTTTTCCTAGCACCTAATCCCCACTGACCCACTGCCATCTTCTAATCAGATGTGTCCCACCCTACAGCAGCAGATACTTGTCTTCAATGATAGCTGCCACCAGCCAGTGAGAAAAGCTTCTAGTCTCTGCTGCAGCTCCCCCTCAAGTTGCCATTCGGCTCTTTCTCCGCTCAAGAATTCAGTTTGCAACATTCATTTCGTACATCAACTTCCCAGTGCTAACAGTAAAAGCTAATCAGCATTCCGAGACTTCCAATACAGAGATTGACCCCAGATCAAAAACTCCTCTCACAAGGCTCTTATCTTACTCAGGAGCTTGAAAGTCAGTCTCAAAAGCCTTGCAAAGACACACAGTACATGAATCCATAATCCAGCTAAGACCTTTACCTTCCAAGTACAGGTTCTACAACTATCCTCAGACTTTGCTGTTAGCCTCTTACGTCCCCTCAGTCATACTGCTACCTTCCAGCATTAAAAAGCCATCAATTTCTACACATATTAGATATATATATATATATATTAGATCATGAGAAGGCATCAAATGGTTTGGAACCTACAGGAGTTACAATAATGTGTAAAGACATGTAGCTCTTTTCCTCAAAGGAGGATCAACAAAAAATATGTTTAATAGTCTAAGCATTCTGACACTATTCAGTGATCTTCAAAAGCCAGCAGGACATTGCTTTCATGTTAATAAGCAATTATCCTATTCAGCTATTCATCTTTCAACAGTTTAAGCTACATAAGTCATTCTGTCTTACATGAACCTTTTCGGAGACCTCACAGAAACGGATGCAGTGAGACTTAAACTGCCAAGCCAAATGAAAGTTTTATGACATTTTTTTTTTAAACAATACGTGCCTCAATGTAAAATGAAAGGGAGAAATTATTTTTTTCTTGACAATATCAAACTAGAATGAAGTTCTGAAATGCAACATCAAGCCTGACAGATACATAGCATTTTACATTTTAGCCCATGGTACTATTGAAAAGCCACATAGAGATTACACACCTATGAAAACTGCGCAAAAACAAGCACTGTCGTGAATTTCTGGAGCGCTAATTTGCACACACTTGCACCCTGCACAGACACTCTTTGGGCACAGAAGGCACAAAGAATTTGCTCTACCTTGCCTCTCCCAAGATGAAGCCTCCACAGTGTAAGAATCACTGCCTGCTTTACAAACCGTTTTCAGGAACAAAGACAAACCTGATGAATATACGTGCAAGTAGACTTCTTAGAATTTCCAGTTTTCCTTTCACAGTATTCAAATTTGTTAGGCCCTTTGCCTAACAGCTCCTTACACTCTTGCTTCCCTTCAAGTACCTCAGCTTGTCAAAAACTAACGTATACATGACCAATACAGGTTACTGTCAACAAGTGAAACCAGCATGGGAGCAAATATACCACTGCAAAACCCTAACAGCACTACTGCATCCTCACAGTTTCTGCACGGGTCCACCTGAGTCTGCAAACATATCCTGTCAAAAGTTTTTTCAGCATAATCTAAGATCATCTGACAGTCGTTTTAAGGGAGAAATCTCAGTCTTTCAGGGGAATTGTGGAAGGCTTATGAAAAATTATGATCATTCCAGTTATTGCTGCCTGTACCCTAAATACAACGTTGGCAGAGGTACAGCCTAGTTCAAACAAGACTGTAACCCATTTTCCCCAACTGAATAAGCTAGCTGTGCTTAAAAGCAACCCCAGCTATGAGACAGAGGCTGTTCTGGGTAAACTTGGTGAAAGCCAGACGAAGTTATGCTGTGTAATCATCATTAAAATGTCAACGGGCTTTCAGCCAACCACTATACTCTCCCTTTAAAACTTCTCCAGTGCTAGCCACGTTCTGTTTTCCTCCTCTTTCTTAGTAGCTTATCAGTAATCTTACAGGCAATAATTCCACTTTCTTAACCTTTACGTCTATTTTACTATCCCAAAAGACTCCACATACACGAAAAGCCAGTCCTCTGTATTATGAACAAGAAGGTTTAAAAATCTGCAGATGTGATTGTTCTCTGCTGAGCCCCTCAATGACACAAAGAATTTCTTGCTTAATTCAGGAAAAAACAGTTTTTCAGAGATTTAATATAGAACACTGAGACATCAAACATCAGTATGAGGGTACCTACATAATCTTCCTAGTTAAAAAAAAAAATTTTTTTTAAAATTGGTGGAAGGAATGACATCTTTACAATGAGTCCTGAAATAACCAAAGCATAGCAGAAAACAGCATTGTATGACACCTTAAACAGTGGTATTTTCTATAAAACATGGAGACTACTCACCCTATTGTTCTGTACTTCAGACTGTTAAGACACATACATAAGCACATTAATGAAAAAACAAAACCTGGACTTCTTTGTGTCTTACTTTCTCCTAATATAAACTTCAAACAATCAGGACAGAAGACTATTGCTGGCTGGTATAAACTGAAAGTGATTTACTCTTTCTAAATGGAACTTGGATCTGCACTGCCATACTCAAAAAAACCCAACCAAAGCAACAGGCTGGTGAGATCTGTAAATCTGTTGCTACTTTCTTTTTGTTTGTTTTCTTACTACTTTCCCCCCCCTCCCCGCCCTGTATTTTTGTTGTCTTGTAATATATAATAGCATTAGCCACCCTTATGTTTTGGCTCCCAAGAGCATGGAAAGCCAGGAACTCATTACTGATTACCCCTACCTTAAAATTTTAACCAGCAAAATCATACTCAAAATAATTTAGTTGTTACCACGGCAAAAGCTAACTTAAATATCAGAATAAAAAGCTTGTAAAAAAGGTATCCTAAAAATCTGAACTGGACAAATTATCTCCTAAAATACTACATTTCACTAAGTGGGTTTCTAGGCAGCCAGACTACACTCGTAAAAACGTTTATCAGACTATGAAAAAAGAAAACGGAGTTCTCAAAGACTCTTTAGTATGCAAAAGCATTTGACATTTACATAATTGATCCAGACCAGAGACCCACATGTATCTGGCTCCTCCTATGTAAAGGGAAAAAGGCTTCGAATGCAATGAAGTTCTTTTCTCTGGAATATTAGGGGAGCAGATGGTCAGCTTGTCTCTAACAGCCATCCACTGAAATTGGCTAAATAATGGTCTCTGATGAAAACTAAGAGAACAGTGTTCCCTACCATTCCATATGTCACAACATGCATCATTTTACAAGAACAGAACCTGCAATTTTAGGCAAATGACACCTACTTTATTCATTCTAAACATGCTATCTCTGCATTTACTCTAGCCTGACTTTGCTTCTCAGGCTCATTATGTAAAGAAAGGGGAGATTTATTCCAGAAGTCACCTTCCTTGACCCACCTGTCTTCTCAAGTTCTTCAGCAAAATACGGGTCATTGAGATCAACATCAGATGGAAGTTCGTCTTCGCTCTGTTCTCTCTCAGCAGCAGCCTGTAACAAAGCACAAACATAATTTAGCACAAACTACTGAAGCTTCACTAGGATTAGATGTTCCTTCTGTTAGTAACTATGAAGACAAAAGCTGAATTACTGTATGCTGAACATCATAAAACTAGAATACACTGAAAATTGCTAGTCAAGACAAATCAACAATTTAAAATCTGTTTCACTGATTGAAAGCTTTTTGTGTACCCAAAGAAGGGCTATTTATATATTCCAAGGATCTTTATTAGATATAACCACAAACTGTGATGCATTAGCTAACCATACCAACAAATTACTGGATCACAGCATTGTTATGTCCTTACTTCATGTTCCACAAAAACTCTACTTGGGGGAAAAACTTGAGCAATAAGCTTCCTTTTGTGCTCTGAAATTCAAAAGACTAAATTTGGATTTAAAAGAAAAAACTTGACTGCTGGAAGTATTGTGTCACACACCTTGCCCCTTGATGTAATTTATCAGACTGAACAAGACTATTATGCTAGCAAAAGCTGCTCTGCTACCTAACAGTGCTACTTACTCTCTTCAGAGCACTCATTTTCTTAAAGGTTTCAGAATTTACTAATGAAATGCCAGTTAAAACTAACTGGAATGCACAACATAACTCAAGCTGTAGAGATTACTCTTAAAAATACTAACCTGCAACATGAATTTTATTCAGAGTAATTTAATAACTTAGGGAAGCTATATTCTGTACACCACATGCTTTTTTTCCTAGCATATGCACAGACATTTCATTTATCTGCCTATTCCTGCACATCACTGCCGCAGGAATCAGTTACTTCACAATTACTTTCTGCATGTGGAAAGATGAAGCAACAGCAATTTTCACATTACTATAGGGCCATTTTGTTATTAATACATGGAACTGTTTACCAAATTTGCTCTTGTAATTTAGAATTTGAATAGTTCTTCATGGCTATTAATTCTTTGCTGTTACAGCTTTGGGCAACAAGCCTGTATTATTTTAGGCCAAAAATTTCAAAAACTACAATCATCATTATCATAACAACTTTGAACTGATATGTGCACAGTAGCAAAAAGACCCCTCCTAATGCATTCAAAAAGGTAAAATATAACCCAACTGTTATTATGACTCATTAGTCTTTAAAGCAACATAAGTAGATAAAATGAAATTTTCTTTAAGCGTATGTATGATCAGTAGTATCCTGAACATCTTTTTGCTCTGTAAATCTGATGAGGCACTTTCGGTCTTTCCACAAGTGTTCACGGCACATTCTAACCTTAAAATATTACTGGAAACGATACAGGGTTTTTATTCATTTTATCCAAAACAAACAATCACAGTAAATTAAGAAAACAAACAAACAACAACTCCTGACCCAAGCAGCCAATGCAAACATTACCTTCCTCTTTTTTTTAAGAATTCTTTTTTCTTTCTTCTTCTCTAGATATTTTTGCCATGGAGTTAGGTTGTCCTTTCCTTCCAACCTGTTTTTGACCATTTCTTCAGCAGTTTCTTTGAGGCCTAGATCAAAAAATAGTAAGTTAACAAAATGAGATGAATCTGATTTAAAAAAAAAAAAAAAAAGCAACTGTTTCCTCTTTTGTAAAAGAATAATCCAGTTTTTCTTCAACAAATCTGTGAAAACAACATAAATATTGCTTAAAATGACAGCTTTATAAATAAGATCACTTTACAGGATGTGTTTTTCCAAAGAAAACATTCCTTCAGTAATCAATTGTACAAGTCAGAAGAAGAGCTTGCTTATGTGATATCTGATTCCCAACAGTCTCACTATTCCTCAGAAAGGTCTCCTCTCCAGACATTAGCCTGTGCAGTCTACAGATGCCACTTTTAAGGATGAGAGTAACACCATAAAAAGAAGCAGCCCTTACCTTTAACACACCTTACTATAATTAGTTAAGATTCACAAACCCACTTCAAATACAGTCAAGTCATTCCCATTTCTTGTGCACGGCAAAGCAAAGTACAAAAGATAAAGTGACTTGACAATGATTCTGAAATGTTAAATCATGATCAGAATATAGGGTCGTGTCACAGCTGGCTTGAACCTCTATACAGCTGGTGGTCTCCATTTCACACACAGCTATTAGCTGGTTGTTACTCTATCAGTATGCCTTGCTCACATGATAAAGGTGCTATATATAGCATCTCCATTGCTGAAACTCTGCCTCTGTGATAATACTATGACAATTCTGCAGTATCTCTGATGACCAGTGTATTTTTCATCCATCATTGTAAAAGAGAACAACAAGCTATTATTTGGATCAATTGAAAGTAAAAATAAATCCGTAGCTAGAAAGCACAGAAAAACATAAATAAAAACTCAGATAATTTAATTATATACTAATGTTGTAACATGATACGCATTAAGTTAAACTAGACTAATTATTTTCAAGTCATCTAACCTTTTAAAGCTACTTAGTACCAGTGTGCTTTAACAACGAACTATCCAAAATTAAAAACCAGTACACACCTGGTGTGACAGTAAACCTAGATTCAGACTCAATGCTTAAGGTAAATAACAAATACTGTTTTAAAAAAATAAGCTAACAAGAAGCAGTGATTAAGGGCAGAGACTGCTTGAAACTTATCAGCCTCTCAAAGAAAAAAAGATTAAAAATTGAAAGAATGCTTTCTGTTATCACTGATTACCGGTTCATATTGCAATAACTCAAGATCAAAAAAAGCAACAGCAAGAGAAATAATCCATCCTCTTACTTGGTTAGCCACACCAAGTTACCAAAAGTAATTTTCATATTTAGCAGCTACGTGACCTGAAAGATTGAAGGCAAGGAGTACCATTCTCTCACAAGATTTGGTGAGGAGCTGTAACTATTAGACCATTAACTCAGATCTGCATCTCTTCCACATCCTTTTCTTACAGGTACGGTGTAAGAGAAGCCCTCAAGTTCGTGCTTCCTGTCAGCAGTTGGGAAAGATGGCTACATACTTTGTTGTTTCCTCCTTACTTTCAGAGTACAACAGTTTTCCGAGGGTCCTAGAAAAGTAAACTCCATAGAAGTGCAACATATCTGGCTCTAAATAATTCTAGCATAACGGGATCCAACAGCAAGCTTGGATGTGTTAATTAGGTTTACATGAAATTCCATTATTTAGCACAGACTGCCACTTTTTCCGTGCCTAGCACCTGACGCTGCATACACAAGTATGTCCTAATCTTTAATTTAGCCTTTCTAACAGGCATGCTGATTGTTTCTCATCACATGATCATATTTTATGTTTTCTAAAGGATCTTAACTGTTTCATCTATAGATCATGAACATGTAGCTACTCAGAATTCTGTGTTACTGTTCAATGCATAGCTAAGTTACAGAACATAATAAATAACCTATAACAAAATTACTGAACATATCTGAACCCTGAAACAGAATGGAGTTTTCTCCAATATGTATCTTTACAGTATGCAATGCTGCAAGAACATCGCTTTAAGAAAGAATCCATTAAATAACCAGTGTCCCCATCTGACATCTAGAAAATTGAAATCTAGAATAAGCACTGAATTTAAAAGCAATCTTAATTTTGCAGTGAAAAATTCTACATATTTCAGGAATGCTTTTTCAAAAGCCTTTACATCACACAGCACTTGCATATTATGAAGCCAACTGCTGACCTCAGATGCAGTATTTACACTTTCAGCCCCTTCTTCACAAGACAGGCACTTGCAAAAACAAAACTTCATGATGTAAAGAGATAAACTGACTTGCCTTGCAACACACTGGAACAGAATTCAGTGGCAGAAAGACAGAATCCACTTCTCTGGCAGAAGGTAACAGCCTGAGCAATGAAGTATTTTTCTCCTACCTGCAATTCCTTGCTTCATTCACTATATTTTTTTATTTTTAACTTCTGTAACAAAGGAGGTAGATATCCTGGAGTTAACATCTTCTTTTATGACATGACTGATAGATCTTGGGAACATGCAGGAATCATGTTTCTGTTTCCCCCTCCAAGCCTGATACTTGCCATCTCTTACCCAATTCTACTTGTTCTAATTGTCTCTCTTCAGCATCTTCTTCTTACCATCCCAGTCCAGCCCTCACCTAAATCAAATCCTACTCTCCCGCCCCTCATACCAGTTTTACTGCTCAGAAATCACACTCGGACCTCTCCAGATGTCCTAGTAACTAGATCCCATTCTTTCTCCCAACTCCTAAGTTTCTCAGTTGGCCAGTCCTTGTTCCTCATCATTTCTTCCAGCTCTCAGTAACCAGGAACTGAAAATAGAGTTCATAATGGAAAAAATGGGCAGCTTTCATGGACAATTCTACCCACCCTCAGAAAAGCAGGCAGAACGTTTTTCTGAAAAACTGCAAACATCAATTCCTGTTCCTGTGCTTGTCGACACTCCAAAAATAATTCAAAAGCTGGAGAGCTGGTTACAACATGTCTGAAACATGAAGTGTGGACAACATCTAAAATCATATTAAACCATGACCCATAGGAAGGAAAAAGTGCAGCAGAAAACCAGAAAAAAGATAAACCATCCTTCTACTACCTTGGAAAGAAGCCAGAATTTACAGTAAGTGGCAAACTGTTACAACCACAAAAATTGGGTACTAAACCAGCAAACAAATGCAGGGCCACGATAAAGGAAGGATATTACATAGGTTCACTAAAATCATGCCACTAAGAAACCCTCTCATACAACAAGAACAAATATTTAGTTATTTCCAACTGTATACTGCTTCATCTCCAAAGCAGAGTCATCAGCTCCCCAGAAAGTGAACCACTATTAGTTTGGATATTATTTTGCAGTACTTTTGTCGTAAAAAATTACTGGTCAGGTAGCAACCTTACAGATTGTCTCTGAAGACAGTAAATACTGGATTAAAAAAATATATGTCACATCTCCAGAAAAAAAAGAGACCTAACAGCTCAAAGGAGGTTACAAGATTTCTGATTTATTTGCCTGGAAAATGGAATCATTTGATCCATCTGGCACAGAAGGACTTGGAGGAAAATACAGCCCTTTCTTGTGGTATTTGGCAGTCTCATGAAAGGCATTAGAGTTTCTCCACAGATTAGAACAGCTTAGAAACTACTGTCCAGACCACTTCCCGAGAATAAGAGTGTATTTAAGTGGTCAAAAGGCTTTTGATTGCAGAAGGGGAAAGAAATTGTCTGCTTTAGGTAGAATTATTAACTGGCCATAGAAAAGGCTAATTTATACCCTTATTGATATCAATGTTTTTTTAGAATAAATGAATCACACTAGTTTAATCTTCATAAATAAGGGCCAAGAAAAGAGGGGGAAAAGATCATCTATATTAGTGTACAACTAAATCATACCTGAGCTAAAGGACTGAAAGTGTGATAAATACTAACTGGAAGAAACCTAAGTATACTGCTTCTCACACTGGTGGGAGAGTGAGGGAGGGTGGGCAGAGGCCAGAGTTTTTACTCCTCTAAATACTTAGTTTTGAAAACTTTTGGAAGTTTAACAGCATGCAATCGTCACAGTTATTAGAAGCTAAGAAGATACTTTTCTATTCTCAGGAGATGTAAATGAGCAAGTTAATCTTGGATGTAAAGTCTTAGCAGAAAAAAAGAAACACCTTGTTGCAGATAGCTAAAAGGAATGGCAGACAAAAATATTCTGGCAACATTAGAATTTGTCATACCCAGAGATAAGACATGTTAACTCAAGACAGTTTTCCTGACATAGTAATAACTGTGTGAAGAAAACCCACCATGTTTAGCAGCTCAGATGTCAAGTGTGAAGAACTAATGGTTGGCCTAGATGACCTTCAAGGTCTTTTCCAACCTAGAGGATTCTGTGAACTACAGGGCTGAGCCCATGAGCAGCTGAGCACACTGCTTCATGCTGCAAGAGGTAAGACTGCTTCAGTCAGAGGACATGCTTAAGCAACAGGATAGATTGAAATATATATTCCATATGAGCATTTTTGTGCTCCATATAGTCTGTAAAAACATACAGTTGGGGTTTACTATGAACTTTACAGAGACATCATTTAAAGAAATAATCTCCCTTTCAGGTGTGTAAGATCTCTCCAAATGCTGCCTGAAATGAGTAACAGCTGAAGTGTTCCCATACATTAGACTTGAAAGGGAAGTTAAGACACTCATCTTCATTTTTACAACTTCTGTTTTGGACAAAACCATGTTGCAGGGGCTAATAGCTAGTGGTGGTATTGACTGATCTCACGGAAGTGAATTAGTCTTGCTAAAGGCACGTGAACACTTCTATGATTTCCAGAACCTCTGCTCCTTGATAATACTGTAACTTTTTCAGGGTAAGAAATGAGGAAACCTTAACATATACTGCAAAATCATAGATGCTAAACTGACATCAAATACTATAAACTACCAATGTAAACATCATTGTGCATGCACTTTCAACCCATCACTATACAAACAAATCCAACCCAGCTCACAGACATCCCGCTGACTCTAGACAAAGTCAGTCATATTTATCAGGATAGGGATTTTTTTCAGTTTGGTTTGTTGGTTGGGGTTTTTTCCCCATCCCTCTCTCAAAAAGATGAAGATATAGCAAAAGTCCTAGGAGCTCTGCAAGAAGGTGCAGTAAGGAAAGGGTTGAACTAGATGCAATACAGGATAAATTTTCTAAAGTCAAGTTCAGTTGCAAAGAAACAGGGAACCCATGTATTAAGGAACTGGAATCCATCTTTACTACAGTTCCTAGATGTTATTATAATTTACTTGTAACACGCAAGGCACAGTTTTAAGAGGCAGAGCCTTCCAGAAGAGTTCTGGTTCTCCCTGTGCAAGATAGACTAAAGAGAGCTTCCTTTAGTCACTCTCAAAACAGTTTTCCATCTCCTTCAATGAATGGTTTGCTCTAGATTCCTCTGTCACCACATTACATTGCTTTGATTTTTTTAATTTACAGAACTTCATTCATAAAATCTGAAAGATTCTTCGGAAGACAGGCTGTATAATAAACCAAAAAAACCCAAACGTGTTTTCCAAACCAACACAAAAAATGGTGGCTTTTCTAACTGTTTAAACAATGCCTGGCCTATATAAATCTAGAATACATTCCTGTCAGCAACTGTTTCAACTGCAGTTTTCACCTTCAGTCTGAAAGGTAGCAACAACAAATCTTTGTTAAAATCTTATAATAGCTATCTATGTTTGAAAACTCATTTGCCGTGAATGCTCAGTGGCACAACGAATTAGTTCTCAGCGAGCAACATCAAGAATGCAAATACTGACACACGGTGGACAGATGAAGTAAAACATGACAATACATCTGTGTTCCCAAGCACTTGTCCTGTTGAGCACGGTAACACGCTTTCTCTAAGAAGTTTTGGGAGAATTCATGCCAAGAATTACTGGAATTATATTAGCACGACTGAAAACCCACAACGATTTTTAATGCCAGTGTGTATTTTCGAATACAGAACTTATGAAGAACTAGGAATAAAACTATTCCCTTCAGTTCAATCAATTTCAGTGCATCAGGACAGACCAGAACAAGATTTAAAAAGTGAGTATTCATATTCAACAGAAGTTACCAGAATATTAGTGTAAACCATATAATGAAATATGCATTCCTAGCTGGAGTTAACACATCACATCAGTGATGAAGGGGCTGGATTCTAGTACGTCTCTCGTCTCAGTATTTACAGTAACAGATCAGCTGTGTTCTTACGTAGCCTGCACTCCCGAACCTACTGAGCCAATACAGCCCCTCACTGCCCCCAAAAAGAGAATGTCACACTTGCCTAGTCTTTGGTTCACCAGATGCTTCCATTTGCCTGACTCGCTAGCTCAGTGGAAAAGATCCAGATTTTTTTCTTCTTTTCCAGAGCAGTTCTGTCATTTCAGCAAACAAAATTAAGCTTGCAAAAGAGATCTAACAAGTGCAAGGGCTGGCACAGGCAGTCAGAATGAGCTCTGAGCCAGGATCAAGGAGGACAGGCCACAGTGAAAACTCTTCCCCTTGTAGATGTAGTGAGTTGTTAAAGTTGCTCATTACATCTCAGAGACAGCACACACCCATACAGAAATTTTTACAATCAGCCTGTCTTTTCATCACAAAGGAAAAAAGCCCAGACATTGGTTTTCAGATCTCAGGATGAGTTCTGCTGGGATGTTATATGGTGAAGTTACCTCTTCTAATTTCCAGATGAAAATCTGGATGTCACTAAATACAAATAAATATCCCTGGTAGCTGGGATTTCTTCCTGGTAACTTTCTTTCCCACAGAGCAGTCTCAATGGAAGGTCAGGCTCCTTCTCCCTCTGTTACTCTGAATCTTCAGCATTATGCAAACAAAATTTTAAAACCATTCTCATCTAAATTTATGCTATGCTTCCAAACCATACTGGTTTTCATTTTAGAAGTGTAGGTATGTGTCTATGGCAGACACATGAATTCTCTTCAAGAAAATCTATAGTCATGAATTAAAAAGCAAGCACAACTGGAAAAAAAAAAAAGCTACAAAGAGAATCTTATAGTTGAGAAACTGAGTTCAGTCATACTATTTATTTCCCTGATTGTAATGCATCTGGATTTCAATTTATGGAAAAAAGGTCAGTTTCTATTACTATAAATCTGACACCTTTCATCCCTATCAGCAGGCCAATACTGCATATCCTCCAAGTCTGTAAAAGAAAGGAAGAAAGCTTACCTGGAACCCATTTAATCTCCATTCCTATATCCTTTTCTTCCTGTTTTTTCTCTTTTTCTTGGATACTTTTCAAAAGTTCTCTGTACTTGGAAATTTGCTCTTCATCATCTTTCTGGCTCTTCTTGCGTTTGTCATCTTCCATTTCATGAGCTACATCACCACCTAGAATGAGAGAGTAAAGCTATCACAGACAGCCTGAAGAAAGTGATCAACCAAAGTTAATGTTTAGGAAACACACCTAAGGCACATACATTGTTTCTAACAAAATCTAAAATATTTTCATCTGTTATTCTCCCACAGAATACCAGTTTTAGCATTTCCATACTTAAGATGAAATAAGAATAGTAACTGAAAAGACAAAATGAAGTTTTTCCAGCAAAGGAAAAACTGCTGATCAGACATAGCATCTTTTGCTCCATTTTAACATTATTGGTTTCAGAGGCTGTTACAGCAGAGTATTGCCTAAATCTCAAAACACACTTTTGTGAAGCATTTTGAACCTGGAGTGCTATATTTTAGTAAATAAACCTTGCAAGATTCTGCAACAAAGATAATTATTCAATGCCTTTTAACAAATGAAGCAAGATGGAAAGAGGGTTCCCCCCCCCCCAAAAAAAACCCTCACCATTACAATAAGCTTTTTAAAAAGAAAATGTGTCAAAGAACAGGCTTTTAAGGCTTTAAAGATGCAGCAGCTCCTTGAACTGTGGCAGGGTCCTTTTTTCTTTCTCTCTGGTTTGGCAGAAAAGTCATGCTTCCTACAGCACCAAGTAGCACAGAGAGCGTAACTGTTATCTAGATTGCAGTTGCAAGGTAACACAGAGTGACCTCTGGTCACTGGCTAAAATTTAGGTGTGACACTGTTGTTCTCTTCCATATCCCATCACCAGAAGCAGCTGGAAGCAGAAATCTTTACTGTTCAGTAAACTGCAGCTGCTTTTCCACTTTCCTCCTCAGTAGCTGGGATCTGCTAAGAGGAAATCATCTGCTCACACAGCAAGCAAAAGGCATTTGGCTTTGAAGAAGAGAAGAAAAATAAGCCATTTTGTTGTTTCTTCTTCCTGCTATCACGTGAAATGAGAATTAAAGCTATATTGGATGGAAACTGGATAAGGAAGTGCTACTGATTTGTATTTATGACTTGGTTTTGCTAATTTTGTTAGGACAAATTTAAGTGACAATGCATATTGTCATACTTAATCATTTAGCTAAAACGTGGTTTTCTTTTGTCAAATGTTCAACAACACCTTGAAAAACCCCTTAAGAACCTTTTAATTCTGTAAGCAAATAAAGAAAACTTGACAACAGCTGCAAGAAAGGAAAATGAGCTGAACATTCTCAAAGTTTGTTCAGAGTTCAAATAACCTTGTCACTAGTTTTCAAGTATCACGCTGCATTGCACAACATGAGGAGCCACTTTCTGATGGTTATTAAGGCAGTAATGCTTCCTGCCAATAGCCTGTTCAAAGGTTTTTTGAACAAAACAAACAAAACCCAAAATGTTCTGGTGCATTAACAGCTGCACTGTAAGAAAAATACAGTTATGAGAAAAAAAGCTTAACTTGTGAAGGAAAAAAAGGCAAAAGCTGATGAAATTTACAGTATAAAATACAAGTATATTCTTAATATTTTCAAAAGTTAACATCTTGAGGCAGGTCAGAAACATTTTGATACAATAGTCTGTAGGGCTGGTTTGTTTTTAAAAGCTATAATTCATCACAAATATGAACAAATGCAGAGGCTCAATATACCAAATTGCTGATTGGCAGCTGTGTTAGCCGGGATCACATTCTTGTAATTACAGTGTTTTGAAGCGATCATATTTTCAGTTTAAGGTGATTTTGCAATGGCTGAATAGACCATTCCTTTTTCTGTTGTTTTAACCTTACAAAATAAAGAGTTGAAAAATTATAGCAGACAAAACGTTTGAGAAGAGGTCTGCTGCAAAGCTGAATTTCTTTTAAAGATGGAAAGATAAAATTCCTCCTCATGATGTAATGGCACACCAGAAAATTCAGCTACTAATCTGGACACTGATGGCCATACCATAAAAATGCACTACATGTCTCAATTCCACCCAGGGTAGTTACTCAATTCAGACAGACACATGAAAAAAAACCCTACAATGCACACAGACACCGCAGAATGAAAAATAAAAAGTTCTACGCTCCAGCATCCAAGAAGTAAGTCTGAGGTAGAGGTTATTGTGTTGTATTACAGCATGATATAAAAATTAAATGCATTGACCTTAGGCTTGAGTCAGAAAACAATGACAAACACTGTCACTGTGGGGTTTTAACTCCACTTTTCTACATTCTCAGCACACTCTGAACAAGAAGTTGTGCAAATCCCATTAGTTCATCCAAATGATAATACAAAGAGGACAAAGTTAGAATTTAAAGTAATAAAAATAAGCTTATTCAAAGGGTATCACCATAGATATATTTTTGTAAAATATTTTTCAGGAAGAAGACAGATACTTGAATAAGATAATTCAAACAGACAGAGAACTATAAAGAAATTTCTAGGGTTTTCTGCAGGCTTAAAGCACCTGGCTGCGCACGGATGTTCCTAGAGCTACACTTAAGCCAGCCAGATGTAAGCCAAGATCAGAGTTGGCCTGTCTAGTCATTTCTTAATGGGGACCCACTGGCCTGCAAAAGCACACACAGATATCTTCTTCAATTCTAAGTTACTGGACACCTCCAACAGTTTGTATGAGGTCTTCAGAAGAAAAGTTGAGATGACCCTTGTTCCCAGCCTTCCGAGCACCTTTTGGTTTTTATTAAATAACAAACCAACCCAACACCAAAGCTCCTGCAAACACGCTTTGGAAAAGTCTCCAACACCTGCATCAGTTGTATGAAGCTCCTGATGCTTCGTAGAAAGAAAATAACCAGGTTGTGGTTTTTCTATTCTGTCCCATGAAATTCCACACAAGTTTAGCTAAGTCATAAACTGGTAACTCCTCTTGCTAGCTTATTTCATTAGGAAATATTTTATCAATATGCCAAAACTACCCCAACAGAAATACTCTGAAGTCAGATCCCTGTTACTGTCAAAGCAGAAGTAATGCCTGAGAGCATCCGAAAAAGCTACACAGGAATCAGGGGTGGAAGCCAAGCCTGTTTAGTGCATTTTATAAATGTCCCTTGCACTCAGGGACAATATTAAATAATTGCATGTTCTACTTCTGTCACCTTCTTCTGCTTAGCCTTCTGTAATGATTCTAGCAGATATTATCACATATGACTACTGTTCATTTTTAAGACAGCAAGGAGGACTGTACTGTCATGTGATAAAAGATTAAAGATGTATTTAAATTTATATATGTAGTCAAGAATTAATGCACCAAATAGATTTCAAAATTCTAAAGAGATTTAATAAATGCTGATTTTATTTAACATTAAATGCAAAAAATAACATTAGCAGCATTATTTTTTTAAAATGTACCAGCAACTCCTCCTTCCCAACTACTACATTTTCTTTCTCTATATTTGTTCATCTCCCGCATCGGTGCAGTGGCACAAAGCAAAAGATCTACTGTCTTTGTAAAATGGTCTTGTATTGGAAGCCAAGAGACTGTGCTCCCTCCTCAGACTCAATGTGGAAAACTGGGCTCCACATAAGTTCCCTACAAGTCTGTTGGTGTTCAAGAAGTGTTTGGACAACTCTGAGATGTATGGTTTAACTTTTAAGTTGCCCTGTGTGGAGTCAGGACTTGGACTCGATGATCCTTGTGAGTCCCTTCCAACTCAGGATATTCTATGATTATACCATCAGGAACAGGTAATTAAAAATACACTGATAAAAGTATTTTGTCATACAGTCTCTTCAGGTATTCTAGGTGGCTGTGCAAAGCAGAACTGCAGAAAAGATGTTGCTTTCGCAAAGACTGAAAGAACAAAAGCTTAGGCATAAAAACCATAATGCTTCATTTGAAGTATCATTTAAAATGTCAGACGCTAAGTCACTGGTGCTTATGGTCAAAATAGCAATTACAGGCTGGATTTGGTGCACAACACAAATGCTTCCTAACTGGAACAAACGTGTCAAAGTAACAGAAAATTCAGAAGCAATGTAAAGGAGGTATTTTGTGCTACAAACCACAACATACCAGGTCACTGAAATACTTGACATTACAAAACCGTTGTATAATAGTAATACTAACATTCATGACACACATATTTTATGTTGAAAAAAAATCCATAAAAACCAGATTAGAACAAGCCAACAAAAACCTGTTTATAAATAAAACATTTTAATAAGTTAAAAAAATATGAGTAAAAGACCAGAACATTTTTTTCCTTATCACACTCCTACATTTCCATTCAAGCAGCTGACACTGATTTTTCCCATTTGTGCATAGTGCCACATAATTCTGCTGGATGGAATCCTGTCAGATGGAATTCTGCTTTTTATCACAAAACTGAATAGATAAAAGGTCAGGAACACATTAAAGACACGGCAATGTAATTCCTCTACTAATAACTTACTTTGCAAAACATCATTACAATCTAGACGTTTCCAGGTCTAAAATTTAATGTGATAAGATTATTTAAGGTCAATTTCTTTTCCTTCCCAGCAATGGAAGTTTACTTTTTATAATTTCTGAAGTGTTGCTCACTGACCATAACCCCATTACAGATGCTGTTCTTTAACACAGTGGTAGTCTTGTACATAATAAGAAGATGGAAATGCTTTCCCCTGCATCTACTGCTCTCATTTAGATACTTTATTAAGCATTACTAGATAAACTAAAGCTCACAGAGGTGCAGTTTGTAAGTGTGTTTTTATGTAAGATGAGAAACAAATGGACATTAACCCTACCAAGATATTGCCAAGCTGAGTTTGCTGCCAGAAGATTTCCCAACTCTCTAACCAGAAAAATCTGTAATGTTCTTTTGCACGCTCCAAAATCATCTTTGATTGCAACAACCTGCTTTTATGCGGTATAAACCAATTTTAACATCTGTCTGAAAGACCTATGAAGGCTTAATGGCATTTGCTTTGCCTTGGAATTTCAGCTATATATATTATTAATTAAGAGCAGACTGAATTTTAGAGTGAAAACAATGAAGGTAATTCAGGAATTTACATGTTGGTGAACCATACACAGAAGATTTGTACACCTTATGAAGTTAGATCACATTCTCTTTGTATTCCTAAGAAATATGTGAACCAAAAAGTATTTGAAAGATGCTACTACTACACTCTATAAAGTTCCCTTAAATACGTTCTGCTGCCTACTTTTCCTCTCACTACCTAAGACCTATAGGTTAGGAGTACCAGAAGCCCCAAGCACAGCTCTTCTCCACTGCCACTCACACTCCCCTGGTTACCCAAGAAGAGCTGCTGCTGGAGTGAAGAAGCTCTTATGATCTACCTCTCCCTCAGGACCTTCTAAGGTCTGGAGTGCATTCAACACCCTGTCTAGGCCATTCCAGCAAGCACAGTTTTAGGGCAGCTTCTTCAGTATCTCCTTGCCCTGCAAAGACTTTACTTGTGTACAGAGTTTCATGAAGAGGATAAAACAGTGTATCAACCTATAGATAGATTTCTGCAGTGAACATGGTACCCAATTCCTTTATTCACTTCACATTTGGAACCAGGACTTTTCCTCTGAAAAGAAAGAACCTCTAGCTCTATTGAAAATAATTTTATCTCTGAAACGAAGAGATTAAAATAGGCATTGCCAAACTGGACAAAAAAATGTTCAGGTACGCTGAAAAAAAAGAGAGAGGTAGAAGGAATTTTAAAAAAGGGAAGAATATGATTTTACACTCAAAGGTGTAAGTTCCTATTCAGAAAGCAGCAGTTTGGAGGGTCAATCATTAGGGTAACTCCTAATCACCTATCATTTGGTAATTTTTGATCAGTGTTACTCAGACTTCACAGAAAGGCAGCAGATCTTAGCACTGAATGAACAGAACAGCTACAACATTCTCTACATAAATCATTCAAATGTATGATGAAAAGCAACTTCTTTTTAACAGATTTACCGTATCAGCAATAAAGAAAATATGCCATGACTCAGATGACCTGTGATCTCACTACTTGAAATCACTTCACTTACAATCATTATACTTGGCTTAATCAAACATTAATTACATCAGGTAAAGAGATTTTGCAGTAAGAAATGAAAAATCAGAAAGCTGCTTTAAAGCTAGAGTGTTAATAGTGAAGTCAAACTCTCACTAACAAACCTTCTAAGTAAGCTGTAACTCCAAATTCAGCAAACAGAGCCTTCAAAAAGAATGTCGTAATTTTGGGGTCATACTAATTATACTATTTATTTGGAGAATCAGGTTTGCATAATACATCTCAACTGTGTCTTTAGAGATACTGCTTTAAAATCTTGTACATGTGTTTTCTTATCATGTATCAAGAACACTGAAAAAGTGTATTTAACTCAAACAAACAAAAAAAAAAACCTCTACAGCTTCGATGTTAACACGCCTAATTTACGAATCTTTTAAAAAAATTTCTTTAGCATCTGTCAGTGTTCTTTCATCAATCCATTTATTTCCTTATGGTAAAGATGGAACAAAAAATACCAACGTGCTCACCACCAATTTCTTTCCACTTTTAATTCACACACACACAAAAAGGAAGTCTATGTCGCTTGCATCTCAGAGATGTTTAGCTCTGGAGGAAATGGTTATTTTCATAGTAGAGCCTGACCACAGCTTTTATACAACAAGCACAATATTGTCCCTATAAAAGATGACATTCAAAGCATTTTCTAAAGATATAACTTACATATTTAGAACTTGTGTTGAAGACACTACAGCTAATGATTTCGTGGACAACATTTATTAATATAAGTACCTGGCTGCTGTTCTTCCTCTTCTTCACTAGATGAAGCCAAATAAGCTTGAAAATCCATGTCAAGAAGTTCCTCTTTTTTAAAAGTTCTGCTAAGTGACATTACTCGTTCATGATCTGTCTCATCCCATGTGATATCTACCTTAAAAATAAGAATGCCATTTGGAGAAGCTGAAACACTAAAATTAAACATTGTAACTCTGTCTTTTTAGGGAAAATTATTCGATACATTCCATTGAAGAAGCAGTGTAAACCTGTTACTAATGTTCTCCACAACAATTAGCTATAATAACCATTTACTAAAATAAATTTAATTACAACTTTTTGGAAGTTGTTCTACAAAGAGTTTTAACTACATGAAAGGATGAAGAAGTCTCCTCATGCACTGAAGAGTACTGTAACAACAGGTCACACAACACGAAAACTCTGTAAGACAAATTTCCTTTGTGGCAATAGATACTAGTGCTGAAGCAGCTACCATCTCCTGTTTCTTTCCTCTTCCAGCATCAACTCACTCCTGGAATCAGGCATGGATTGCAGTGGGGACAATGAAAGTGTTCGCACAACTTCACTCTCAACTGGAAGGTGAAAGAGACCTGACTGAAAAATGATCCAGCAGAAACTTATTCCTCAACTAATCTGGTTGAGTAATCTGGTTCATTTCATGGCCAGATGAAAGTTTTGTCTGTCACTTAAGACAGAGTAAGAAGAAATAGCTACAAGGAAGGGAAGCAACTGTTTAAGCCTGGCACTACCACCAGAAAGGCTCTAGAGCATCACACAAATACACATTTTTAGCCAAATTAGAAGATTTAATTGTGAATAACAAAGTAATTCCATGTGCAGCCTGTAGCAGAGGTACAATGAGGTCAAAATGTACTATTCAATATGTAGCAAAGAAGCTGGATCTCAAAATCCAAAACTTGAGCTTATTTATGGGGCTGCAACTTGTGGCTCTGTAACATGCTTATATCTTTTAATATGTTTGATGTCTTTATTTCAAAATGGTGAAGATAACCAGGAATCTTTTCCTCACTACTTCATATAATTTATAAGCTGACAGTAAAACTAAACAAATTAGAAAAACATTACAAAAACATTGTAAAGATACCTTTGATGTTCCCATGGCAGCAGATGTGAAGTACTTTGGCTTATATACAGCTACATTTACTTCCGAGGCTACATCTTTTGGCTTATCGTCAAATGTAACATTATCTGGAATAAATCTTAAAGGCAAACATGTTATTATTCAAATACACTGAGAAATTTCATAGTATAAACAGCCTAAACTTTTCATGAGTATGGTACATCAGTACAAAAGAATTTGCTAAAATAAAAAGTTGGTAAGCCTGAAAAGGAAATAAATAAAATGGACATGTACTCCCCATAAGTAAGATTAACTCTCTGGCTTCTGCACAGCTATTCCACAGGTTTTCAAGGTATAAAACAACACCGTGTTAGGGAAGTAAACTACACAATTTTCAGTTAGGTATTAGCAGGGTCAGGGGTGGTTTTCTGAGTGTTTTAGGTTTTTTTAAGAATCACCTTTTCAGGAAGCTTAATATTAAAAATTCAAAAGAAAAAAGTGAATTCAAAACATTTTAGAAAAACTTGGTACAGCTTTAACATTACAACTAGCAGGGAGAAAAAATATTGAGAAGACCGAAGTCACATGTAATGATGGAAGACATAAGATAAAAAAACCCCAAATGCCTTTGTACATTACATTAGAAGTTATTTGAGTTGCCTTTTTTTTTTTCTTTTATCATTGCAAATGTAATATGATGAATACTATTCAACACTGAAATTTAACAAAGGACACGATTAGGAAAAGCATTGGAGAATTTTAAATAGCTGTGGCTGTTGTAAAACATTATCTTCCTTGTGTTTAAAAGCATGAAAAGTTACATGGTGATTTGGCATACACCATCTTTTCCAAAATGGTTCAAAGCAAATTAATTAAGTTCCACTAGAAAATGATTCAAAGCAAAAAATATATCTTTCACTAACTTCCAAGAACACCCATAACACGGGCCCTAGCAGACAAAGCCAGTCTCTGTCAAAACTCAATGCGATTTAGTAACTTCTCTTCTGCTCAGACTAGAAGGCTTTTTTGTAACAAAAGGATATAGTAACAATAAAGCATGATTATAATTTTAAATTCTTTCTTCCCAAACGTGACTTTTGAAACATTAGAGCTTCCAGCTCATTCATAGGGGTTAGCATAGTAATCTATTGCAGCTTCATGACAACAGCAGTAATTTCTTGCCTTGTGGTAAGCAATCCTGCAAAAGAGCCACTTCTGGACCCTTGGGGGGGGGAAAGGCAGCAGTATGTTGTTTTGTTTTCTAAATCCTATCACTTTATTTAATTGTACCAAAAGGTTGAAGATACAACCAGAACATTTTACCAGACTTCTCTGAGAATACTCTCTCTATGCAGAAATCCTCTCAAACTTCCCATATTCCAGTAAAAATTCTCAAAAAGAAGGGAAAAGAATCAAAGGGAAATCTAACAACTCATTGGATGCCTAATTTATTTACATATCTCAGTTACACAATAAAGACAAAAAGGTTTACTCCAAATTATTTTAAATTGGCTTTAATTCTCCCTCCCCTCCCCTGCCCAACATGTAATTAAGTCACCACTCAAGTTACCTCAGGTCTATAAAAGAGCAGCTACTTTCAAATTCCAGTCCATCGCATTCCTCATAAATTTTACTAGCTGTTTCAGGAGAATCACATTCTACAACCGCATAGAAGTATTTCAGTCTCTTAAATTGATACTCACGCAGCTTTTCCCTATAAAGCCTGAAAAAGTGGAAAACACAATCAAGTGAGCTGGCTTTAACAACTATTCACTGGCAAAATATTTTAATTTATTAAAAATACGCACCAAACACTCTCCTAATCTTCTAATAAGATTAGATGTTAAACAGCATGAAGTTCCGCCAGTATCTGTTCAGTTTTAGTCACATAAAAAGACTTATTCACACCATTTTGTTAAGTGTATGCTTTCTGTTTCTGACTCTGCTTCCCACAGGCATTGTAAGGTTAGAGCAGGACATAGAATAGCATATTTGTACGTCTCTGTGCAGGCCACAGAAAGTAGTATTTAATAGTTCCTATCAAGTTGTTTGCAATTATCCTAGCTCCTAACAAGGCTGGTGAAAAGAATGTTCACACATAAGTAAGAGTACACGTTAAGAACACAGGAGAAACTGGGAGACCGGAAGGACAGGATTGCAGATGCTCACACTAGAAAAAGGAGGTGTAAGAGTGATGAGTAAGGAAGTGGTACGGTGAGGACAGGAATTGGATACTAACTTGGGTAGCGCAGGTGGTAGTAGTGTCATATCAAGACAAAAAGAAAAAGCAGAAAAGAGACTGAGAAGTGGATAAATTGGTGGAAGGATGCAGGAGAGAGACCACAGGGCTGAGGTCCCGTCCTGTGAATTGAAAGGGTACATACACAGGCATCACTGAGGTGTCTCTGGCATATCTGGATTTCTGTCTGTTCTACTCCAGAATTTCTAGAGCCCACTGAGCAGTAAATCCAACGTTTCAGGATGCACCCTGATGCACACAGCAAAGCTGACTTCAGCACGTGCTGAGTTCATCATAGAATTCCCTGATGCTCTACACACTTTCTTCAAAGGGATCTGCACTTATTTTAGAGGCATCCAGATTTTCCAAATGTAGGGCAGTCCAATGGGATGTATTATACAAAAGTGGCCCCAGTCAGGCTGCCAAACATCTGGAAATTCTGGAAAAATATGAAAGCAAAACCTCTCAAGTTCCATACAGACAAGACTTTGAAGCAGAATAAAAGCGGGGAAAAAAAAAAAAAGACATGCCTGAAGAAGCCTGCACAATGGCAGGCCTGATGAGCTCAGGCTGGTAAGCCAGGGCTGCGGCTGGTGGCATTCAAAACTCAATCTGGGAATTCTTGGCCTAAATTAGGGTCCTGTTGATTATGCAGATAAAAAATTTTGATAGTAAGTAATAAAGGGAGTTTACTGCATAAATGGCAATTTGTTGAGGAGAAATGCTATATTAAGCTCTCCACACATTTGTTCCATTTATTATTCCAATGAGCTACATAATAAAAATTTTGAACTCACTTAACAAGCAAATCTTCTCAAGTTTCATCATAATGCATTTATTCAATGCACTGATAATGACCAGGGCCAGTTGTAAAACATCCCTTGAAAAAGCTATAAAATTAAGTCATCCACACAGAACTTCCAACATATGAACTTTTGGAAACAGGAGTTGATTGGGATTTTCCCTGAGAATTAAGACATATTGAAGTTTTCATTTGAAGATAAAGTTAATACCCATCATTCTCTGTGGTATTCTCTGGAAGATCGAACAGTTCCACAGGTCCTTTTTGTTCTTCCTCTTTCAACCTCTCTTTTCCAAACTCTGAAGGATAAATCTATACATACAACACACAAAAGTAAATTTTTAACAGTAGCAACACAACTAAGAAAAAAATATTATCTCACCAAGTATTTTTGAATTTTTGTTTTTTATCTAAAATCAGTATAGGGATCAATGCCATAAACTTTAATACCCTCTTAATTTTAGTTTACAGAAAAGACAGTAGAATATAAAACTCTCTTAGGAATGAGAACAACAGGAACCATTACTTCATTCATTTTGCTATGGCCCTTGTGAGAAAAGGGTATTTGACTAACATTGCTCAGAAAGCTGGAGGCAGACACTAGAAACAGAAAAAGATAACCAATGAGAATTCAGTTTATTAGTAACTCAGAAGTGGTGAAAGACAAGAGGTGTTGTGCAATAGTAAATGGGTTGGAAGGCACCTAGAAATTGCCAAATTTAAGGCTGAGTTATCTACCATAATGACTACCGAAAATTAAGATAGCCAAGGAAATGTAGTCTCCTCCCTGCTAGACTTTGAGAACTTCACTTGTCTCAGAAAAGCAGCACTTAGAGCCAGCCTCATAAACACAAGAAGTTAACAGCTTTGGGATCTAACTCTACCTAATACCTGTTGCTGAAAAGCAGCACATGTTTATTTCTAACCCAGGGAGTTAAATTGCAACACAATTTCTTATTTATCATGTTAATGTCTCTTTGATTCTCCATAAAAACGTCTTTGCTCTTATTTTGTAGCTTTTTTTTTTTTTTTTTTACACAGTAAAAGCCAGCAGTCCTTTTAGAAATCAGGTCTTACCTTAACAGAAAACACTCTTCCTCCTTTGGGTGTGAAAGAGTTAAATAGAGCCAGCAAATCCTTAGCCTTCAGTCTATCCCAATCCATATTACAAACAGCCAATCTGCTTGTAACCTGAAGAGAAAAAAAAAAAAACCAACCAGGACATAAAGTTCATATATTTAATTCCTGACTGCTGTGGGGAATACACACTACTCTAGCAGCTATCCTCAGTAAAAACTGAAAGTCAGCAACAAACAGCTGAAAAACTAAAAGCAGCATTTTCCTCAAGAGTATCACTAAATAGCAAAAATCAGAAGCAGCAATCACAAGAGCTGATAAAGAGGATCCATATAGTGAAGATGAGAGAACAGACTGCACCAATCACAGATTTAGGTCTGCAGTTAGAACATCAACACTTAGGATTTCATTATCATCATATGGTTAGTCACAACAGCAACTAGTATCACAGTATTATAACAGCACTAGAGTACTGGATTTCTTACACAGTAACTGTTTAAAAGTCTTACTTCATTCTCTAATGATTTCATATTTTCTTGAAGTGAGAAAAAATTTTAAAAAGTGAAAACAACCATAAGTGAACTAAAGCGGTACTATTTAAGTTCTGGAATTTCTAAAAATCTCAATTCTGTTTGTACCTTCACTCATAAATATCGATCTACAGGAAAGCCTCCGCTTAGAGGGAAGAAAAGTGAAAACTGCAAGTCTTATTCTCGCCCGATTTCATCATCACTCGCATTCTGTAACTAGAGGGTTGAAAAACCTTTACAAAAAATACTTTCACAAACTGTTTCATAGATGAAGGTCTATAATGAACTCATGAAAGTGTACAATACTGAGTTTGTCACATAGCAACTTTTCACATGCCAAGTTCTGTTACCTCATCTCCACGAGGGGCATCTTTATCTAGCTCACGCCATGAATGCTCTATGTCTGGCTCCTTTGGAAATAGCTCATTTAAATCCTCATCATCCTCTGAACTTGTTTCAATGTTCCCTATGCCTCTAGCTAGATCAGGCCCACTATCACTTTCTTCATCATCTTCTGAATCACTGTCTTCTTCGCCCGTTTCCCCATCATCTTGTGACTCCTCTTCCTCGCTTGTTTCCCCATCACCTTCTGGCTCCTCTTCTTCCAATTCTCCATACTCAGAAGCATCACTTGTAGAAATTTCTTCTTCTAAGTGGCTTTTACTAATGTCACCTTGATCACAGGTGTCTGCAGTCACTGAAAGATAAACATCAGATATCTATTTTTATGTTGGAATTACATATGATCCTTTACAAAGGAGGAAAAAACCCTCAGTTTTTCTTCATGCAAATTTACTGAACCCCTCAAATGCGTAATGAGGCAGGAACAAATTACATCAGGGAAGTGCAAACAAAATAAATCATCAACACTGCCTCTTCATCTTGTATAATCTAACCTAATTGCTCTTTAGGTCTCAAACTCTAATGAAATATTACTCTGTTATTCTATTCATATTCTATTCAATCAACAGATAGAAATTAGATTTCTGTCATGTAGGCTATACACATGCACAAGCAATATAAAGAAAGTTTTTCTTCAAGTCACTTGTTTTCTCTAATGTCCTCTAATATTAATGGCTTCATGCTGCCCTCCTTAAGCTTTCAGTCAACAAGTGCTGATATGTTGAAACTTTCACGGTATCAGACTTTATATTTGTTATTCAATTTGATAAATACAGTAGTGTATACATTACTATATATTTTACTTTTCGTACCAACAATTTCAGCTCCAGCAATTAAAAGGACATGTTCGCAATCTTAGTGAAGAATCAGCTGTGATTCTATAAAAAGCTGACCAACTCTGATTCTTCAGCAACACCAAACCCAAGTTAGCTATTTTATAACTGATCTTATGAAAGATCTTCCATGGATAAAGCAAAAGCAACAACATCCAAGTCAACAGAGCCAAATTCTACCTGTTATCTTAACAACTAACCTGATTGTTTTATTTTTCCTCCTAGGGAATGGTCTTTCCTGGGAGCTTTAACCGATTTAGTACTAATTGGTTGTGAAGACTTTTGCTTGTTTTGACTTGAAATTGATCTTCCTCCCGATGCATCTCCTTTCTTGTTTTCCCCCTTGTGTAAAAGGCCCTTGTTTCCCCGAGAGCGATCAACTTCTGTGGCAATTTTCTTAGAGTCCTTTTTCAAGTGGAGTTTAGATGCAATTTTTTCTCCTTCATTTCTAAGGTCACATAGTTTTGTCACCACTTCACATGTTTGGTCCACCCCTTGTTTGTTTATTTCACTCTCCTCTCTAGAGAGACCATCAGTAAGCAGCTTTGCAGAATCTGCTTCTTCTTTAGATTTATCTTTTTTTTTCTTTTTTTTCTTTTCAGTATGTTCTTTACCATCATGTTCTGAAAGATCAGAGTCGGATTCTGACAGGGCATAAAATTTCCTGAGGTTCTCTGTAGAACTATAGTTAACAGGACGACCTCTTTTATCCACTGTATATTTCAGTTTAAACTTCTTGTCATGAAACATAGCTCGGAACCGTTTGTCAATCTTGATTTTACGTTCTTTTTCAGGCATCTCCCAAAATCTGGGATCCCTAGTAACGCAGCTAAACCGCCCATCGTTCAGTATTTCCTCTTGGGATGACATTTTTGATGCTGTTGAAGACTTGGACATCTACAATACGGAAAGAAAAAACAAACCAGTTGCGATTAAAAAACCTGGTTAACATAGATTTAGAAACATAATTGAAAAATTTATCAAGAATTAAGCAAAGTCAGATTTCTAATCTGTACCTAAAAAGTTACTGCCAAAAGTACATGAGGCCATTTAAATGAGCCACAAATAGCTCTGTAAGTACCACAGTCTTGGCCACAATTCTTAGCTCTCTCGGATAACAGACACGCAACTAAAAAGACCATACCAGCTGCACACACAGCCTGAAGCGATTCCCTATCAGTCCCGAACAGGGCCTCAAGCAGAAACACAGAATCAACTAGGTTGGAAAAAACCTTGAAGATCATCTAGTCCAACCATTAACCTCATAGTGTCCACTCTCAACTCCAACAGATCCCTCAGCGCTGGGTCAACCTGACTCTTCAACCCCTCCAGGGATGGGGACTCCACCACTGCCCTGGGCAGACCAATCCAATGCACAACAACCCCTTCTGCAAAGAAATGATTCCTAACATCTAGTCTAAACCTGCCCTGGCACAGTTTGAGGCCATTCCCTCTTGTCCTATCGCTTGTTACTTGGTACAAGAGACTCACCCCCAGCTCTCTGCACCCTCTTTTCAGGGAGTGGTAGAGGGCCATGAGGTCTCCTCCCCACAGCCTCCTCTTCTCCAGACTAAACCTCCCCAGTGCCCTCAGCCTCTCCCCATCAGACCTGTGCTCCAGACCCTGCACCAGCTCCGTTGCCCTTCTCTGGACACGCTCGAGTCATTCAATGGCCTTTTTGTAGTGAGGGGCCCAAAACTGAACACAGTAATCAAGGTGCGGCCTCACCAGTGCTGAGTACAGGGGTCAGATCCCTTCCCTGTCCCTGCTGGCCACGCTATTGCTGACGCAAGCCAGGATGCCATTGGCCTTCTTGGCCACCTGAGCACACCACTGGCACCTGTTCAGCCGGCTGCCAACCAACCCCCCAGGGTCCCTCTCTGACTGGCAGCTCTCCAGCCACTCCTCCCCAAGCCTGTAGCGCTGCTGGGGGTTGTTGTGGCCCAAGTGCAGCCCCCCGGCATTTGGCCTAATTGAAGCTCATGCAGTTGGCCTCAGCCCATGGCTCTAGCCTGTCCAGGTCTCTCTGCAGAGCCTCCCTACCGTCGAGCAGATCAACACTCCCATCCAACTTGGTGTCATCTGCAAACTGACTGAGGGGGCACTCGATCCCCTCGTCTAGATCATCAATAAAGATGTTAAACTGGAGTGGCCCCAACACCGAGCCTTAGGGGACACCACTCGTGACCGGCCGCCAGCTGGATTTAACTCCATTTACCACAACCCTTTGGGCCCGGCCATCCAGCCAGTTCTTTACTCAGCAAAAATAAAAGCAGTTGCACTGTAAGTCAGACCTCAGACTTTTACTTCCTCCCGGACTAGGATATTCCACCTTTAGGACTAGAGTATTCCACATTTAAGAATAAGGCATTCCAAAACGACACTTCGGAACGAAATCAGCAACAAGGGCGACGTTCTGGCAAGAGCAGATCGGTACCACGAGCAACTCCGGCCCAGCATCACAGCCACAGCCTTCCTCGAGGCGCCGGCTGCGGCCCCCCAGTCCCTCCCCGAGCGCCGCTCGCAGTG